AAAAGAAACTGGTTGGCAGACGAGCACCTAATAATTCTGCTTTGTATTAAGAAAACCAATTATTTAAGACGATGAAAACTAGGTAACAAGCTCGCAACTTGAGACAACACATTAACATGCATAATAATATTTTAATGATGCACCATTTCTAGGTTAACGGTCAATTTTCAGTTTTGTTCTGAAGATAGTTCAAAGGGATAATGTTAATTATATGGAGACATAGTGTTATGTGTTTGTTAGAAACTGTGTGATTTATTATCATATTAAATTGACGACCGATTTGACTGTGGAAGAGCCATGCTTCGGCACGAATGGGACATGACCGGAGTGAAGACGGCCTCACAGAAAACCGACGTGAAACAACTCTTTTGCGTTGTGTTTCGGCGTGTGAGTGAGTCTACAGGAAGCCCAATTACTGATTGTCCCAATATTCTCAATCTCCGAATCCCCAACGATCCTCAAATTCCTAACCCCAAAGGGCCAGCATCGCACTTGTAACGCCTCTGGTCTTCCGTCTGTCGTCAGCATCAGGTGACCCGTCTGCTCGTTTATTCCATAAAAGGAACTGGTGAGCAAGGTTTTCATTAAAAGGGCTTTATTGTTACTTTTAAGATTTTTCGAAAATTATCTATCGTAGCGCAAAGTCTAGAGTTATGCTTGAGTATACGAGAATAGGTTCACCCTCTACCATTACGGGAGATAACATAAATAAGTGTTATATTGTATGAGTATGTGCAGTTGTGCACCTCTGCCTATCCCTTCATTGATTATTGTTAACGTGGCGTGACATTAGATATGTATTGTAAATCCGTTTGTTGCGTAGCGACTAATAGTTGTTTAGTACGTGTTTCTACGCAAGAGAGTGCACGCTAGACCAATTAAATCTCATTGAGTGCAAACTGCGTATGCGCTAAATGTGAATGCACTCACTGTTTCAGCATGTGTTTATCTAGTTGGTGCCACTGTAAATTCAGGCTTAGGTACCTCAGCTGGAAAGTCAACACGGCTCTAGGAATTACAAACTACAAAAAGGTGTTGCAATAAGACCAAGAAAAAAAAATTATTATACGTACTAATAAAAATAAACTTTACAACGGTTTGAAGTCGATAAAATATGAAAAAAAACCCGTTAAGTTTAATTCGTTTAGTCAAATAGTTTTTGAGGTCATTAGTATTTGAGAGATATTGAAAGGAAGAGAAATTGAAAGGATATTGAGGTCAGGAAATAATTCATATACCTTAGCAGCTAATGTAATTGACAGCTGCTGTTGCATAGACAAAGTTATGGAATAAGAACCCATTTATCACCAATTAGTATCAAACGTTGGTTACCCACTTGGATGGAAGCCAAGAAATCGAAACTGTAATAGAAATGAATGAATGAACATACTTACCCTGCGAAATGGCACACGTGTGTATTTTCAACAATATTAATATTCAACAAGGTATAAGCTCAAATGTTTATACTTTTCGGGAGTTTGTCGATCATGAGTCAAGAATGAATCTGTTATTGAATTAGTAGAGTATGCTTCGACAGAAAACTTCTTGAAGCAACAATGCTAAGTTCCTAAGTGATACTTAAATTTGCCTAAATACAGCTTCGTCTTAGCGGCGAAGTTGTAAACACAATAAAATTATTTAAATTAATTTATAGTGAAGTCAAGAACTTTGCTAAGTAAACACAGACAGAAAGACAAAGCATGGAATATCTACATAGCGTTACAAATACTTACAACCCGTTTGTTGTTCACAAAGGAGTATTTTAAACAATAGCACTTGTTGGTGGCCACAAAGAGTACAATGCAAGAGATATTTGTAAGACTATTTACAGACTAAGTGTAGTACCTAAGTTGATGTTGAATAATTTGAGATGAAAGTATGAACGGACACATGTATGGTGAAGGGAGCATATTGTGAAGAATACAGAAAATTGCAACGCCTGGTGTACATTGCATAAGTTGACATGGTACCTGTTGCTTTGCTAAAGCATCAGGAAGATACAATATGTCTAGTTTGCCTATTATATTCTTGAAGCTACTGGAAGCTCAGTACTATACATAGTATTAATAAATCGATTTTTCAGAGCACACCATTAAAATGGATATTTTAATGGATTGCTGAAGAGGCACACAATGACTGTTATTTAATGTATCACCACTATTACATACGTCGCTTTTTAGTTCCCAGCATATCCAAGTAGAATAATACTAAATAATACAATACTCTTTCTTGGTACGATAAAATCTACATAATGTTTCCGCTATTGCGGTGGTCAAATAGTGATTCAACCCATCAGCAGTCAGCTTACAAAAAGTATCTCATCTACATTACTCTGGCGAAACAGTGCCTGAGCAGAAGAACTGTTAAGTAATGGAGCAAAACTTAAAGGTTTTTACAAACAACAATGTTGACTTTTTACGAAATCATTTAAATAAAAGTAGTTTGTATTTCTAGTTTGTGTCAATACTGTTTCCCTTTATTCGTTGTGATAGGGTAGGGCGCTTAATGCTTCCGAGGGCCCAGGCCGGACGCGGGCGTCACGCGTCGCCGGCTATGCATGACGGGCTTGCCTCACCACGATGTTAACCCGACTCATTGAAACGCTAACCCCACCACATCAGCACGCAGCCGAGCAACCGCCAATTCTGTCGGACAGCACTACAGTTTTTGGGCCATGAGTCAGAGTTACGTAACCTCGGTGAAAATGATATCTTATGAACTTGTCGAAGTAAGCAGTTGTTTTGATGTTCAGTCACGAACTATTTCTAAACAATGTAATTAGTTGTCTTTAACGAGTTGGTTTTCCGCATTTGTAAATAACCGCAAGAACAACCCAATGTTAAAGTAGACACTTTTGGGTGGCTTGATCAAGGGTCTGATACAGAAAGCAGTTCAAGGTCTGTTCCGTATTGAAACACTTCTTTAACCAAAAACTTATGGAAAACCGAATAACAAGGTCAGCAAAGTCAATGAGCAAAAAGATTTGTAGATACTCTACCAAAAATAATTATTTACTTAATAAAACAATGTTGTGGAAAGTCAATATAAAAAGTTAAAGAGTTGAATGCACCATTGTCTGCTAGTGTTAACCTTGATATTTTAGTGCAGGACAAGATATTTCTTAACTCGATCTGTCCAGTATTAATGATGGAAATTATAATGTAAATTGAGAACAGTAGCCCAGTGGCCTTGATCACGCGTGTTCGGTTCCATGCCAGCGATCCGGACACATGAGAAACCGAGAGGAACCTGGCACCACCCCGCCACCTGACACCCGATCAATCCGACCGGAACCTATACTTTGGTTAAATATGACATTCCCATTCAAATGTAGCACAGTCAGGCAATTTAATTGTACGTCTAATTTTGTTCAAAATAGTTTAACATGGTTATGAAACAGTTTTGAACGACAAAGACGAATCAAAATTGCATATCGCTTGGAAGTTTTGGTTAATGAATTAAATGGTGCTCGAATTACGGAATTGTTGGGTTTTTCACCTACAATATCTTTTTATTTTTTCCTGATTCGAATCGAACACGTACCTACTTGTAAAAGAAATTAAACTATAACGAACTGACGTTCCAAGATTCTCTCGCGTCCCTCAGTATCGGCCTAGTTGACACAAAGTCAAAGTGGCCTAGATTTCAGTATTCATTAAACTAACCCGTTTAGATTTAGGAGTTTAAAACTGCCACGGTTTCAAAACGAATGCAAGCATACCCGTAAATTTTAATGGCAGATCTCCAACTGCACTGGAATTCACAAAAGTTATTTACAACGATATGTTTATCAAATAATGAGTCCGTTATGCATTTACAGGTCAGCGTGCTACGTGGAATTTCTACTGTATCAGAATAAAATGTTTAAGCCCAGCAGTGGTTACTACAATAGGCATTTGTTCGTGTGCATCAAATCGTTCAGTAGGACGACGTAGTTGGACATCATGATCTAATGCCTTGTTGATGTTTAGTTGTGAATTGATTATATCAGGGTTTGCGTAAGGTTTTTTGTCATTGCGATTAGCTGGATCGATGTCATCGTTTACAACTTAGCCTTTATCTCGTATTTGCAACAAACGAGTCGAAAAGATCGAAAATTATACTTCAAAGGTTTCAGACATGTAACAACATACATAACGGGAGCAAGTAACTCTTTCATTGTTCGCATAGAGGTCAATATGAATCGAAGCAAAAGCGTGGGACGGCTGTGACACTACCAATCATTTACACCTACATGGTACTCTTAAGTTTTTGCTGCTTCCACATGAGATGCGAGGGTACCGTTAGAATCAATTGTTTAAGAATCTAATCAAAATAAGGTGTATCTATCTTGGAATAGTAAGTATGGTACAAATGTCTCGGTTTATAGGTTTATATGCGGTTTATAGGCTGTTGCTAGGTTAAATGTTGCTGCTCATGTTATATCTATGAAGATTGTGCACGCTTAAGGAACTAAAGGTAAAACAAAATTGATCTAAATATCGAACAAGTCCATTCTGCTTAATCTCATTCTGATTAATAAATAAAAGTATTTAGTTTAGTCTTATCGTAAATACAAAAGGCCTTACAAAACTTTTTCAATGCATTTGATAACCAGTCTTTTCTACTTCCACTGTTGCGTAATTCGGTTGAAAAGCACAATACTTCTCTCACGGGACAAAAATACAATAACAAACGGTTGATTATAATTGTGGATGTTGCATTGTTTGTTTCCATACAATGCAAGCATCAATTATGCGTCTTCGATTTTATTGAATTGATTAAATGGCATAGGCGTGTTTTATCCGATCATTGTAATAATCGTACAAGTCAGACTATTACTGGAGTCATTTAATTGCACGCCGTTATCATGTGAGACCCTAAGATGGTTTAGTGAAATTATTTCTAGGTGCGTGATTCATAGCCTTCTGTCTTCAATTGGATTGTAATGGCTGTCCATACAATGACACAGTTTCTTTTGTTGTAAACATTATGCTATATGTTATATTATTTTGTTACAGGCTCCAGAAAGAATTGAGCAGTGTTCTCAACTTTCCAAAATTAGAACTTCGGAGCAAAACGGCGAAGTAGTGAAGCCTCCTGACAAGTCGATGAAGAATTACAATATACGAGACACAGAAGTGACAGCTTTGAACATGGCAATTGATACATTGCGGTGGCAATTAACACAGGTATTGAGCTTGCACATTTATTATTACATGCTAGCTATTTTATTGGTGCACCAATAGTTAGTTATTAATGTTTACTATAATTTTATGAGAATGCATTGCGAGATCGATATTATCTACTGCAGCGAATACTTTAACTACCACGCTAATGTCCATTGCTAGCGTCTGTTTTATTCTAGTGTATAATTGAATTATGTGTTCATTTCATTATGTATACTAACGAATAGATGAAGAAAAGGTGACGTTGAATTCAAAATGTAATGTAACTTACTTTCAGACTGAAGCGAACAGACAAATGCACATAGCGTTACTTAAGCAGGTAGTGACGTTCCTTAGCAGAGTCAAGGAACATATCGAGTGCCAGAGTCCTGAGATAGGGCCTGCTGTGGAAGCTGTGCCCCATAGGGAAGCATCCCCGAGCTCCCTCAGCGTCGACTTGCCACGATCGCGCTCCGTTTTGCACGTCAACAAACATGAATATTCTTTGAACACCGGGAAAAGGTTGAGCGCAAGAAAAATAAGTAAATCTATAAACAACGTGAATGGGGTCAAAGATAGCAACGGTGTCTGGTAAATCAATCTGTCGATATCTGAATTTTTTATTTGTCTCTAATGGCACACTTGATAACTGTGTTATTTTCGATTTACAGGAATCAATCTAAATTATCTTTGTCATCGGACACGGACAGCTCCCAAAAGATTACCGAAGAAATATCTAGACTGATCACTCTTGCCAATACTGTACTCAGTACCAAAATACCTGATCTCTCGTGTAATTGCAGCGATAGTAATGATGTTTCAAAAAATGATAGTATTCCCAACGATGATACTATTGAACATAACGAATCAAATTCAACTTTAAGTCTTATAGATGAGGACACAACCAACGCTTTTATACTCAACACGATTTACGACAGCGAAGATGCTTTTAATGGTCTTGCAAATAAATATGCAGATGTTAAAGATGAACTAACGGACTTTATAGTGTCCTCTTCTCCATTGTCTTGCAGTCTCGAGAATGACTTTGCTGGTATTAATATTAATCAAAAAGACGAAATTAAAACCACTGAATCTAAAACAAGACCTATGAATAAAAGGAACGAGTACAGTCACGTTGCAAATTTTATTGAAGATGAAAGTGGATTTTCGTCAATGAGTTCGTTCCAGGAGATAGGTATACCTATAATAAGTATTATACCACCGTCACCTTGTAAAGAAGTAGGCTACATCGAGGAGCTCACCAACATTTTGGATGGAACTGAAAAGTGGAAGAGCGAAGCTGTAGACCTTGATAAACAATCTGTCAAAGTATTTTGGGTTTAATATATTTGCCAATGTACAAAATCGTGCCTGATTACGTAATAATGACAGTTAAATTATTATTTGTAACGAGTGCGCAAATGACTTAACATAGATTTCACATAACGATTGTGTATTTCTCTTGAATTCTAGAAATGTATAATATCGCCGTGGATTTTTTTTTGTAATTTTTTAGTTGTACTTATATTTTAATTTTAATAAATAATAACTTTATGTATGGTATCTATTGTTTTGTGATTATTGGGCAACCATGATCCCTTGAGCTGAAGTTAAATGGAACCTTGAAGATTCGATACGAAATCTTTCATGGTCTTTCAAAGAAACGTTGAATGTTTAGAACGAACAATGGTTTGGCAAACCTGGTCAATGATATCATTCATTAGCAACGAGTAATTTATATCAATGAATACCTCACCGACTGAAATTAGGTTATCTTTTGGCAAGCTCGAGCCACAGAGTAACTACTAAAACTGGACTAATTACCAAATTCGTAAAATGTTTAGTTTCTTAACTAAGATGTAACTATTGTAAGCACGGGTGTCATTGGTGTCAGTAATTTAATGCCGTTTATAGGGACTAGCTGTGTACTGGCTAATAATACCTAATTAATTTATAAGAACAGCTTTAATTGAACACTTTTTGAATAATTTACAAGTATGAATGTACTACATAGGTGTCTGAATCTCAAATGCCTTCATAATGTTTTACATAAACCAAGCAAACATGGAAAAGTACAAACTAAACTGTCGAGTCCCCAAGCGGTCACCATTGACCGCTCTCCACCTAATCCATTATAGATATACCTTATTTCCGATGTTCAGAGACAACTTTTGTATTTTTTTTTTTTTTTTTTTATAATTGATGGGGCGACGTTTGACCACTATCTCACCTGTTGGTAAGCGATGATGCGGTCTACGTTAGAGCACGTCGTCCCATAAGCAACCTATTCACTCGGGCCTTGAAGACTCCCAGGTTATACCCTTCAGGAAATACAGACTCTGGCAAAGAATTCCACTCTTTAGCAGTACGCACAAGGAAGCTTGAAGCGAAGCGCTTCGTGCGTGTGGGCGGAACATCTACCATGAATCGGTGACGCTTCGCGGATTGTCTTGTGGTACGATGATGGAAAGGACTAGGGGGAATCAAGTTGTGCAATTCCCCCGCACACTCCCCGAAATGTATCCGGTAGAAAACCGAAAGGCTTGCAACCTTACGCCTGTGTTCGAGGCTTTGAAGCCGAGCCTTCACAAGCGCATCATCGTCGATGAGCCTCCTGGCACGCCTCTCAATGTGCTCTAACGCGTCCAGCTGATATTTAGCCGAGCCGTCCCAAAGATGAGAGCAGTACTCCATACAGGACCGAACCTGTGCTTGGTACAGGCTCAGCAATTGTCTCGGCGTGAAGTACCGTCTCACCCTCCATAGGACACCCAACTTCCTACCAGCCAGTTGCGCTTTTGATTCTATATAGGAGCCAAAGTTGAGCGTGGGCGTCAGAGTTACACCAAGAAGCTCAAGACGATCGGTTATCGGTACGGATACATTCCGGAAAGTAGGAGTCAGCGGAAATTGACTCCGTTTGGCGGAGAATAGACACGCCTGGGTCTTGCTAGCATTGAACCTAACCAAGTTAACAAATGTTGTTGAAATTTCATATGATATTATATAATCGTGAATTAATAAGTTTTACTATGTCATGAAAGCAAAGCATTTAACACGAGCGATAACCACTTTGGTATGAAACCTCCATTTGTAGTTAAACATGACATATCGATTTCGTATCCAACAAGATTGTTATTTTTAAAATCAAAAAGAACTGTCATGACAAATTCAATTTATTTGACAAAATAACAAAAAACAGCAATGACGATACTTTCTTAATTATTTATATCATAAAATATATATAAAATTAAAATTTAGGCCCTAAAAATTGAACTGATTGGACTAAACTAAATTTCTTGTGTAAATTAAACAAAAATGGGGGATGCCGCTGAAGATAAGGAAACCGCAGCTAGTGGAGATACAGAGGTAGAAAAACCTGAAACTGAGCCCAAGCCCCCTCCAGAACCAGAGCCAAAGCCACCTGATGTGGAACTATTTGTTGATGGCTTTGGATTTATGCCAAAATCTAAGACAAGGGATGACAGGCGACGATCAAGTCTCTTTGCAAAAACAAGGTCATCACATAAAGATAATAATGAGACCCACGGTGAGCAAAGCCCTTGCGCGTCCAGTACCAACATTGATATAGTTAGAAGATACACTTGGAAGACGAAAAACAGGATGACAGTTCAGGTACCTATAGTTGCTACTCAATGTCAGCTCCTAAAACACTTTTGATACTCGATTCTACCACTGTGAATGGTTTGGTAATCTTTTATGTAGGTATCATAAGGGAGGTTGTGGCTCATTATTTTAATGATGGACTTTCATGTTCAGATCATGATTAGTCTACAGATATATTAAATACAAATTTGGGTCATTGGGTCATCTTAGGGGCGGATTTTTACTTTGTATAATACTAGCGACCCGCCACGGCTTCGCACGGCTACAATATGCATATAACCCTTGCATAAAAACCGCTATCTATTAAAAAAATCGCATCAAAATCCGTTGCCTAGTTTTAAAGATCTAAGCATATATAGGGACAGACAGATGTCGGATAGCTACTTTTTTATACTATGTAGTGATACGTATATAACGTACGTTACGATCGATGTCCTATGTTCGACTACAATCATAGTAGTTTTGTTAATAAAAATGTTCAGTAGTATCACGGTCTGTGACGATTTGAGTATTCATTACGCTCTTACTAAATCCATCTGCAGGTTATAACGTATGGAGCCACGATCACTGCTATTTCGGTTCCTGACAGGAAAGGAGTACCAGATGATGTCCTTGCAGGTTTTGACACATTGGAAGGTAAATTATTACCTTTACTAAGTAAATTAACAATGTATGTACATAATGTATGTTACTGTCAAAGCTTTAGACTACTTTTTAAATATACCTTTGTACGTGACGTTGATGAATATTGTTCATATTCGGTGATCTGCTATAAATAACAATATAGGTACGGAAAGGCAGTAAAAGTGCAATGAGGAATAAATGTGTGTATGTAATTTAAGATTTATTATTTTTGTACAGAATACTTCCAGCCTAGAAATCCTTACTTCGGTGCGACAATAGGGAGATATGCAAATGTGATCAGAGACGCCACCATCATGGTTAGACCATCAGGAAGATTGTACATGATCTCCAATAACAAGGGACATCATCATTACAATGGAGGATATGTAGGATTTGATAAGGTAACTATGACTTGTTTGTCTGTGTCTAGTCAGATTGAGTAGTAACGTCGCTTAGTGTCCTAAAGCGTAATCTCGTATGGAGTTATAGAATAAGTTGTTTCTAACTTGATAATTTGAAAGATTCCTTCGGAGGGGACTTTAAGTAGCAAGTAAAGCTACAAACAAATTAAACTAAACTGCGCTGATCATCAGATGGTAAGCAATCATGCTTACCATCTGGTGATCAGTGCTCGTTTGTCTATATGACGGCACGTTTGGTGCGGTGACTGGGCAATCGGCTACCGCACAACGTGTTGTGGGTTCGATTCCCGCACGGAGCAACTCTTCGTGTGATCCACAAATTGTTGTTTTGGATCTAGGTGTCATGTGTATATGAACTTGTATGTTTGTAAATGCACCCACGACACAGGCGAAAATCCTAGTGGGGGCAACCTTTTTTATAAAGAAAGAAAAAAGTCCATAAAATAAATCAGCTTAGAGATGTGCTTATTTACGGCTGGTTTTATCCTGCTGACGGTACGCGTCAGCGCTGATGTGACGTAATATATGAACTTTTAGGAAGCATTTTTGAATGACGCGTGGCTATCATCGCGCTCGGTGGTCAGCGCTGACAACCAAGTTTATAAACAACGTCAGCGCGACACTACAGCCAGCCTATGGTAGCTGCGTATTTCCAAAGATCACTGATGAAGCAGTCGCTGATATGTTCATTAACCATACCTATTTATTTAATGCTTTCCAGGTGAACTGGCATTCTTACGTATCCGGCCTGAAAGTGATAATGACACATGTGTCAGAGCGGTTTCACGAAGGGTACCCTGGGACTGTCATGTGCCAGGTTACTTTCGAAGTGACCTGCGACAACACACTCAAGATTGAGATGAAGTGCACTACCAGCGAACCAACAGTTATCAACATGAGCAACGCACCGTTCTTCAATCTCGCTGGCCATGTATGTATATGACGTGTATTCTCTTCACCAGCCCATCTACCCACTGACTGATGCAGGTGTCTTTAAATAATGGTACAGCACTGAGTTCTGTCCTTACCTTCTTCTCATTTAACCCTTGCTAGCCACTGCGGATATCTTTTCTCAACTGAAGTGCATTGTCACCTAAATAACTAAAGAGTGTTTGATTCATTTCAAACCTATGAGGAACAAGTTTTTATCGGTAATTTAATGTATACAAACTCCTATATAAGAAATGAAGTTCCTGCCCAGAGTCTGTTTCCTAAAGCAAACAATCAGGGTGCCTGCAAGTCCTGAGTGAGTAGGGTGTTTATAGGCAGGCTTGCTCTATTGTTGGTCACATCATTATCGTTTACCACCAGGCGAGTGAGGCTATGAGCAATGAAGAAACGTCATCACGCCTTTTATCCCCGAAAGGGTAGGCAGAGGTGTACATTATGCCACTGTACAATGTAACACCCACTTTTCACGATTTATGTTATGAGTCCCATGTAACAGGGGGTGAGCGTATTGCCATATACCGGGCACAATTCCAGGCTCCGTGCTACGACTGAGAATTAAACTCGGAAAAAAAACCAGTAATACTTTGCCCGACCCGGGAATCGAACCCGACACTCCTTGCCCGGTAGTCGCACTTGCGACCACTCGGCCAACGAGGCAGTCGTAAATAGAATAAAAATTTTAGGCACAAAAAGCAGTTATTTAAAATTCACACTGTATCTTTCTATACAAGTGTACCTGTCCATAATATCTTTCTTTCTACAGAATTTATGAAAGTTCAATAACGTGGTCCCACTATTGTTATAATAACAACATTTTATTTAATGTACAGACTTACTTTCGATACCCAATATCCGTGATATTTTTTGTCACCGACTGCAAATTTACGTTTCTTTCCAGCATACCGGAGCTGACCTTATGATGGATCATATTTTTACTATAAATGCTGATAAATTCACTGCTGTGGATGACGATGGACTAGTTACTGGTAGGTTGTTGTTTGTATCTGAGAGCCTTTGTTATAAAATTAAGGACATTGTGGTGTTGAGGTTGCAGTCAACTGTATTGGGCATCTGATTCTTTTCATGCATACTCCTGGTATCTTCAAGGCCCAGACTAAGTTGTAACCGCTTGCCCATAGAACTATTGAACCAACGCCTAATTTCATTAAAGTCTTGGCTAGTCGTTGCGCTGTCAGTATTATGGATGTGTGATTCCTCGAACCATAATAGTTTTTAGTAATACATCCTGGCATAAGAACATTGAACATAACATTTAGTACTCTAAGATCAGGAAATTTAGCAACGCTAATAAATGAGAGCCATGAAGCTAAAAAAACTAGTTCTCGTTTCTTATATTTTTATGATAAATTAAGTAAAATCGCGGGTTACTCACTTGAATATACTAAGAAAAGCTCAACTAGTTTCGAACCACAGTTGGTTCTTCCTCATGAGCAGCGTGCGCGGAGATTTTACTTAATTATGTCTCACGATAGTTATTATAAAAACATATTTATGATAATATAAAATTATATGTACCTCATCTTGTATTTTCCAGGTGAAAGAAAAGTAGTAGGCGGAACAGCCTATGATTTTCGTGTGCCTCGAGTCCTCAGAACGATGATGCCCAAGATACCTATGGGAGGCTATGATATTAATTACTGTGTTACTCGAGGGACAGATCAGGACTTGGCTTTTCAGGCTAGGTACGTAACAGTTTTTATGCTTATTAAAACGTCATACAGTATGCTATGCTTATGAACCGTGAAGGTGTTTTTAAAGCCTAATCATCATCGAGAATTTCAACGGCTCAGCTGACTTAACATTAAATATTGGAACAAGAGTACCATTTTATCCATTAGAAAAAATATTTAACCCTATGACATAAGAAGACTAATGTTATATAGTCAAAGTCAGGCATTTATTTCAATTAATCCTCAATTAGGCATTTTTAAAACGTCAAATTGAATACCTGGTTTAATGTGTAGGCCAAATTGCTGCTTTACACCTGTCTTCTTCCCTTATGAAAAGTTACGGTTAAATCGAGACTTTTGAGTTCACGATTGGTAGGCAAATTACAAATTGCAGGTTATAAGGATATACATTTGCCCAGTCTCTGTCAAATGTGTACACAAGTAGTCGGTGCTTACAGCAATAGCTAGCCATACACCCACGAATATGCCCAGAGGATGCCAAACAGTCACTGTCAAATCTGGCGGGCACATCTGACGCGACCACACACGGCACAGTCAGAGCTCGTATTTGCCTGCCCCGTGCCGGAACAGTTCATTTTAAACACGGTCGGCGTGCAGGCAATAGGCAGACATACCCGTGACTTTTTCCGCCACACCCACATATTTACCCGTTAGGTACCCGTTCAGGCTGATCTGCCGGACGTATGGCAAGCAATTCGGTAGTGACATGTAATGTAGCACTCTCTGCTACAACTCTTTCAGAACGAAATCCACACGGCACAACTTTTTGTCTATTAGTAAATAGGATATTTATATTTATTATTCAACTTTTCAGGGTGCTGCATCCATTAACAGGACGAGTTCTCGAAGTATACAGTAACCAGCCCGGCATGCAGTTCTACACCGGCAACCTCCTGCCGGATCCGGACAAAATTGTCGAGGTAATTTGTGTACATAAACAACCGCTGTTGACAGATCATTGATGGACTTGAGCTTCATTTACATGAGACAGGGTTCCTATAATCTCTGCGCTTGGCAAGCGTATTCGAGATCGCAACTTCAAACGTTTAGGTTTATTACTGAGTACTGCCGCCTGGTTTCTGTCAAATAAGTGGTTCCTTAGTTGTCTCTTACGACTCCCATGGAAAAATTAGGTGTGGCGCGAGATATGGTCTACTCTGTTTCCATCAAATTGTACCACATGTATGATTTATATTTATATAATGAATAATAGCCGAACCATTATAAATACAAATATAATTGTTAATATTATTCAGAACATCTTCCGGTAGTATTTTGTTTCCAAAAGCACGTGTAATGCTGTGTTAGTGTAGTGTATAAACACGTTGTTGATACTCTGTTGCATAACGTCCAGTGACTTGACATGAGCTCCATACAAAAAGTGTCAAAATTCTTTCTCTAGTAAGCAAATCTACAGATAGATAGGTTATAGAAACTGGACGTAAAACAAGTATTTAGTCTGAAACCATGGCCATATAAATGACCCTTATTGTAATGGTTGTTGTAAAATCGATACTTTCTTCGAAAGTTCAAAAACGACAGTTGTCTTTGAATTTTGTACGAGATTGTGTATTGTGTCGTTTTTTAGCGTCAAACAAAATACCTATTTTTTAAAAATTGCTGGAAATAAAATCAATTAATGAAAGTGTGATTATTTTTTAATATTGTACTAGCTTCTGCCCGCGACTTCGTACGCGCAATCCTATTTCCCCCCCGTTCCCGTTCTTTATTTTCGGTAAAAGTAAAAAAAAAATAGATAAAAAGTATCCTATGTCTGTCTCCTGGTTCTAAGCTACCACCCCGCCAATTTTCATCCAAATCGATTTAGTCGTTCTTGAGTTATAAATAGTGTAACTAACACGACTTTCTTTTATACAATATAGATTGCATTGAATAGTTGAAACAATTTATTTTCTATTAAGGTAAGTACCTAAGCACTCAGTTAGTCAGCATGCTCAGTCTAGAGATAAACACATATATTTTCTCTTGCTGTAAAACAATGCCATTCATCTGTATCATTATTCACGGACGTATCTAACCCAACGTCTTTAAGAAATTGAGACGAATTGAGGCGATCTTCTTCTTCTCTGTCGATTCGCTCTTGGCAGAGCGGTCGTGGTCACGTTGAGGCGGCCGTATTTGTGTTGGTGGCCAATACAGCTTTCCTCACGATCTCCCGCCATCTCTCTCTGTTTGTGGATTGTCTGGCGCAGTCTGACACTGGGGCGATAACAAAAATGAATTCCACAAACTGCCGTTAGGTAGTCGGCTACTTTGTTTAATGATTATATTTATATGTAGCCTTTGCCGGCGGAGCCTGAGGAGGACGTAGAAGAGCATGAGAACAGTGAGATGTCCAGTGAGAAATCAAGTGTACTAGGGGAAGATGAGGAAGGAGACGAAAGCGAGGTGATTTTGAACTTTTCTTCTTAGTACACATAGAGTATATTTTGTAGTTGATAGATGTTTTAAATAACTCTTCAATTCTTCATGGCAAGTTCAGTGATCATGATCGCTGGGTAATTCGGAAAATTGCGGAACGCAGCGTTTCTTCGGTTTTCCGTTCCTGGTGTGAGGTGGCACAAAGTTAAAGATACTGAACCTTATTTTTTGTAACTTGAACATAAAACATATCAGCATCGTATGAGTGAAATACTACTAATACAGATAAAATGCTGCGTTCAAATGTTAAAGTATCCAAGCCTTGTCAGAAGCACCTTTCATTGTATCATAGTATTTATACTTACGAGTGTCTCGTTGCATCTAGTGTTGTCGATAAAATATTGTTTTCTTTGTTTACAGGGTAGAAAGAGTTACGGTTACATCCCTTTGCTAGGCAAGAAGGGCACTATGTATAAACGACACGGTTTATTCTGTCTCATGCCACAGAACTACCCTGACGCCGTAAATAATGTAAGTGTTTTATAATAGTAGTTAGTAAAAGTAAGTATAATAGAGCTAAGTATAAATGGGTTTTTAAAAAAATCTCAGTGGTAGTACAGAGTCTGAATTGTGCTCGGTATTGGCAATGATCACACCTATTACACGGGACTCATAACATAAATAGTGAAAAGTGGGTAACTTTTCAGTGGTAATGTCCACTGCTACTTACCCCTTCGGGGATTAAAGGCGTGATGTTATGTTATATTATATTATAATACAATTTCTTGCTGACCACAAGCATTCTGTGGACATTGTAGTTTTCAAATAAAGTGTGGGTACAGTATATAGAGGTAAATTTCTACCACAGAAAAAATCTTAAATTATAGAATATTTTTATAAACTCCCCAGACCATAATAGACCTTTGCTGTACCCTGCATGTTTATTCTATAAGTAATTGATATTTTACTAAAGCTTTATAATTGGCATTTACTTGGCATGTGGATAAAGTCCACGAAGGATGTAAAATAATTATAGGAATCTACTAAAAACGAACTTTTCTGGTTATATGAATTCTATAGGTACTTATTTTTTTTAAATGATCAAGATCAAGTTCGTAAAAGAATACACAAATACACATACAGTTACTAGCAATTTATTTACGATACATTTACAGTATTTACATTACAATAGTATAATTATTATTCGCCACAGACTTCCATCTATCCCTGTCCCTATCATTATTTTATTGAAAGTTAAATTGCAACTCTGTTAATGAGTATTTATCAAAAGTCGTATTAGTTTATAGTCCAGTCACATTAGTCCGGTCACATTTTGTAACTTCTGACGTCTAAACTGATTGGACAAGCAGTGTTATACAATGTATTTGGGGGTCAGACATTGTACCAAGTAATGTACATATGCGGAAGACGCGGGGAGCCCAGAAACCAAACCGTGCGCCGCTGCTGGTGGCAGTAATACTTGACGCAGTTATTTTAACGCTGTCAACGCCTTTATTCTTGTAGAGGTTATATCGTTATAACCACACAAAGACATGTATAAACGTTAGTAATTAGTGTAACCTGCAAGCCTATATTTATGTATGCGCAGTAGCGGGACGTGTGGCACTCGTTGCTCGATCCTTATGGTGGATACACTCCGTGAATTTAATAGTACGAGTGCTTTCATTTATCGTCTGACCTAAACACATACCATATAATAAAACTGTAGAAAATTAAAAATATTAAAAAAAAAATTTAGAAGGGGGCCCATGGATACCCAAAACACCTGTGCCTTTAGCCAAACGCCATTTTAGCGCTTGTTTACAGAGAGAGTAGAAAACTAAATATATGGGGATGACACTGACAAGTATCAAAATTTACGTCAATTCCATATAATTTGGTTTACTATTCTACATGTAGACAAGCGCTAAATGGCATTTGGCTACAGCCGCTGTGCCTATGCTGTTTTGGGTGTCCAAGTGCGTTATGACCACCATAATACATGATTATAATCTAGCTCGAGAGTCGCAGAAACAGAGGCTTATATCATTTCACCAGGGTGTAGGCGATCAGGAGGTGAAGATGGAAGTCTTTGGCAGTTATCATAAATAATATTTGTTTCTACAAAGAGCTTACAAAGCAACACTTACATGTCAACAACTGACATTCTAGTTATTGATATTTGAAGAACTTCATCGTTCTTGTTTGCGGTTTGGGTCTCCAAGATCCTGCAAAAGAAGATAATCACTGTTATCAATTAAGAAAATGTTGAGTTATTGGATTCTATGTATTCGAAAGAGTACTGTTAGATGACAGCACAAAACTGGCAATACGGTAGTTGACAGGTAGTCAAATTCAATAGATAGTTTTATTGAATGAATTTTGTATTGGATCGCAACTTATGAGGTCGTCATATTTTTGTGTCAAATAGTATACTTATTTCCTTAAAATTAGCGAGAAAAATCCAACAGTATGTAAATTGTCACATTGTTGATCATTATCATGATTATTTTTTAATTATTTATTGCATTGAAAAGTAGAAATAGTTTATTTTAAACCTAGGAAACTAGCCAATTCATCTAACAATGGCTCAAAAATGGAACACAAATATGTTAATTCGAGAAAATTAAAACGTTTCTTTAGTTTTGGAAACTGGCAAATTTTAGATATTGCCTAATAAATAATATTTAATACCTGTATAAGATTATGCTGGACTTGGTGGAGGCAGTGCCGTCGTCGGTGTTTGAATCAGTATTTAAACCAGTGATATAACAGTGACCAATGAGAGGTTTGGAGTCACAGAGTCGCCTGGACCTGTTAGACAATATAAAGTTAAATCAGACACAACCAGGTCCATCTTATATCTTACTAATATTGCGATAGTTTGTGAGTTTGTGTATATGTTTGTTCCTCAATCACCTCAAAATGGTTAAAAGGGCTTACACTTGAATCCAATTCTGATCAATTGACATTGGTTTTGTGAAATTTTATTTATTTATTTATCCATTTATGCACAACACAGATACAATACAAAGGAGAATACATATATAAATAAATTAGAGGTACATAGGTACTACATATTTCCGTTTGTATTCTTGAGTTGCAATACTAGCGCCCATTGTATTGCGTGGATATTTAATGAACTAAATTATATTCCGTACATTGAATGCTATTTTAATTCAACAGTTGCGATTGGGGTTGTACAGTTTTGATATTGAATAATTATTGAGATTTTATCGATTGGAATTGCATTGACATTGAGATTGGTTTCAAGAGTAAGCATCCAGGGTATATTATGGTCTGGAAGAACACATAGGTTTCTTTATTATCCGATGAGAATGCGAGCGAAGCCGCTGACAGAATCTGGGTGTCTAATAAATTATTTAATTAATATTTACAGAAAAATTTCCCGAATTCGGTGCTAAATCCAGGCGAAGAGTACATTCATAGAATGCAGTACAAATTCGGTATACTACTTGGAAAATATGTATAAGTGATATTGAAATAAGAAAAAAAATTCGTTTAACTATGTAAATGTTTTTGATGTCGTTTTAAGTGTCGTCATATGACTAAATTGTAAATTAATATATACCTTATAAAGTTGTACAATATGTTTTTTAATTAATGAGATACTTTAGAATGACTTTTTTTTTAAGGAGGAAAATCATCGAATGACTTCTCCCGCCTGGGTGAGGCGGGAGGGAGTGTCAGACTCTTACTGACTAAAAACCAGTCCGTTCCTTCTCCTGCGCGTCGAGCCTTAGAATGACCAGTAGGAACACAGTATATTAATAGAAAATGTAAACTTACCTCTACATTCGATGATCCATCTATCTATCATATACGTAGCAGAGAGTAAAGTTTCCTAAGATCTGAAAAGGAGGATCCTCCGACCAGGCGAGGTGATCGTGCGTTGCGGGCTATCTGCCCAACAGTTGTTCGTTGGAAATTTCTATCCGTGTTAATTCGCATATAAATTTGACATGTGCGATGTAGGATTTTTGTGACGTCATCCGTTTATTTGCTTTTCATCGATGTACGGGAGCTGTCATTTCACATGCTACATCACCACATTCAGCGTCTCCATCTTGCAAAGCAGATTAATTGCGTTCTGAGTCTTTTTAGATGTGAAACTTATTTTTATGGAACAAGCCGGTAAACGAGTATACAGATCACATGATGGTAACTAATCGCCGCCGCCCATGGACACCATGGTTACCGGCCTTTTGGGATTAGGGATTAGGAATTTGAGGTGGTAATTGGGCCTCCAGTAAACTCATTCATACGATGAAACACATCGCAAGTGTTGTTTCACGTCAGTTTTCTGTGAAGTTGAAACTATATTTGTCGTTATTCTGTCTATGAAATTGATTTTTCCGAGGTACAATACAATTGGCAGGTGTTATAGGAATCCATGGCTGATGTTGAGAGTAAATGCTGTGGAAGAAGCCTTCCATGTAGTTAGGTGATGGTTTGTATTTCGTCGTGTTTGGAGAAATACCTGAAAGAGAGATTGGTCCATTAATGATATTCGGTTGTAATTTTCTCGGTGGCTGAACTGTTTTGAACCTTTCAAAACAGTTTAGTCGCCGAAAAAATTCTAAGTGACAAATCTTATATTTTGTTAGGGATTTGTGGCACTGACTTTCTCACTATAGATTTGTTTTTTAAGGGGGGGGGGGGGTTGGGGGAAATCATCGAATGACTGCTCCCGCCTGGGTGAGGAGGAAGGGAGTGTCAGACTCTCACTGACTAAAAACCACCCCGTTCCTTCTCCTGCACGTCGAGTCGGAGCCCCGGTTACCCGTTAGGTTCTCCACGACTTCTCACTATAGATAGGTCTTACCTATCAGTGAGTAATTTATCAGTACGTATAGCTAATAATTAGTTTTTTTATCTTTTTAGTTTTTACGTTTTGTTTGTTTTTAGTTCTAGCGACTCCACGGTTGGCGCGGTGGCTGGGTTTGGGAGTCATGGGAACTTGTATGTTTGTAAACACACCCACGACACAGGAGATAATCCTAGGGGGAGGGGGGGGCAACGTTTCTTTTAAAAAAAGAAAAAAGATCTCGGTTGCTGCAACCACAAAATCTTTAAAATGTTAAGTTTCTATTCAGCAGTGATATGATTTTAGTATTTCGAACTTACTTACAAACACGTTTGTGTGCCGTGTAAGGTTTTAATTATACGTAATTTTATTATATGTGTAAGGTTTTAATTGTACGTACCAGTGTACACAACAGAAACGTAATATTACGGTATAAGTATTACTGGGTTTTTTTAAATCTCAGTTGTAGCACGGAGTCTGGAATTGTACCCGGTATATGGCGATAGGCTCACTCCCTATTATATGGGACTCATAACATAAATAATGAAAAGTGGGTGTTACATTGTACAGTGGCATAATGTGCACCTCTGCATACCCCTTCAGGGATAGATGTTACGTTATGAGTTTTTTACATTTTTATCGTTTTGAAAAATTTACACAATTTAATTTATTTATTTATTAATCTATGTACACACATACAACATAAAGGACAACACATACATAAAATTGAAGTACAAAGGTACCACCTATTCCTATTGGAATTTCTTCCTGTGAACCTGGAGCAGGAAAAGTATAGTTTATAATAATAATATAGTCTTTTTTTAAATTTTATTTTTAACCAAAGGAAGTACCCAAACAGAATTTATTTTATTTATTTTCAGCCATGATCATCCCACTGCATAGTAATAAAATTTCAATTGAAAACAATATTTTGTACCTATACAATTCAACAATTACGGATTACAAATTACGGCTTACGGCTTACAGACTGACACTTACTAAATTTAATGTTTTTTAATACTCACTGTTTTGTAAACAGGCAGAATATCAGAGGTTGTTCGTACTTCGCACATGTTATTGTTGGCTGCAAACTCCATACTGTAGTATCTTAGTGTAGACTGTCGACTGTGTACACCAACGAACTGAACTGGAGGACAAGAATACTAATATAAGATTCAAATAAAGAATAATGCCGGCAACCGGCCTGACCTTGGATTGTTGACGTTGGATTGGATCGATATCGATATTTATACTTTCTGGTTTGCATGTGACGTATAACCTGGATGATTGACTTTGACAGCGACAGAAAGTAGTTTTCTGACAATAACATCATACGCACATGTCAGTGTCAAAAAGTTACTAATAAGAGTTACTAAATTTGAAATACTTAGGTATATAGCATAGCATAGTAATATAATTAAATACTAGATAATTATTTAAAATGTAATAATTGTTATTTATTAAATTTATTGAACATTATTTTTTTAGCACAGCGACATCTACCATATCAGGATTATACTAAACGTAAGGGTAATAGTACATTATGGAACTACAGATGGCGTTCGTTGTTACTGCCAAAGGTTTTAATCGTACTTTGAGAAATTGTAGGCACGCTTTTGTGTAACAGGTTAATAAATAGTTAGGTCATACCTAACATCTAATGTCAGTAATGTTAGGAAACTCTCATGTAACATAACAAGTACATCAGAATTCGAACGCTAGACACTCTTCCAAACAATATGATATTACTGAAAAGTTTCGAAAACTAAAAATCTTACTCTTCCAACGATGTAGTTCAGTATGATGATTTAAGTGCTTGTTCATCATTCACGTAATATTCTTAACGTTCCAGATGTCTAGAAAATAATGTGAAGTTTCCGCAAACCTGTAAACATTACAAAAATGCATATTTATTATACCAGTTACTGCAGGTTTTCTAAACATTCTGATGGACCTGTAAAATATGAATACTGTCGTAAATGAACGGTTGAACAAAAATTTTTATGTTATCGTGACCTTCCACCACTGATGGAGCCCAGTAGGGCTGATGCCGATACGGAGTTGCGGAGGACTTAACGGGTTGCCCGGCTTGAAGAGCAGAAGTAGGAACGGGGTGGTTTTTAGTCAGTAACAGAAAGGCAATTGGGTGATTTCTCCCCTCAAAAAAAATCAAATAAGAAATCGGGACATTCAGTTTTTTATATTGTTTATTAATGGTAGTAAGTACATAATTATTGCCGGAATACTGAAACGTTACTCAATTTTAAGTCGTGCTTAAATATCGTGCCATCTCTGTCATTTTACAAAGAATTTTTGGAGACAGAACTATACTTAAGCACGACTTAAAATTGAGTAGCGTTTGGGTATTCCGACATATGTAATTTAGAGTTGTGCTAAATGTATGGCAATATATTTTTCCTGTACCTGTACTACATAGTATAAAGTAAATTCGTAAGTTTTACCGTCTGCCTAAAAAGCTGCTAAGATCTCAATACCATCAGAGATTCAAACGTTAAAATCCTTGTTTGGCAGTCGCCCTTGCAATCACTCTATTGTCCATCCCACTATGGAAGTACTTTGTCGCGAGCAGCCAATAATTTAGTAGTTAAATGTGTCTAAACACCAAAAATTTCGTCGTGTACTCGAGTGAAGTGCGAACGATTTATCATCCACCGAGCCGTTCCCATTGAATTTCTATGAATTGAGAGTCGACGGACTCACTGCGCTACGCTTGTCGAAGGTATGCTAAAATGACAAGAAATAAATTGAAATATCTAACATAATTATTGGTCAATACATAATAATATTTCTTTCTTTTATGTCCAAATATAGGCTATACCTACTAAACCAAATATACCTATTAACAAAATATGAATTGATTTTTTTTTAATTGGGACATGCCCGCCACAACCTCCCAAAACCGCTGCAACTCCTGTAAGCCAGAATCTACAGCAGATACAACCATGAAAATACTGAAACACTGAAATCCGGCGAATATGAATTGATTAACTAATTAGCCAGCCAATTTAAACCATCTACTTATGTACATGTAGAATGCAATAAACTATCGATTTTTGAACATAACATAGTGTCATAGTGACCCGAAGGCTAAGACGCTCTTCTTATGCATGAGGGCGCGGGTTCGGACCTACCAACGGCAAATACCAATGTGACTCTTTCCGAGTTTTATGTACTTTCTAAGATCATTTAGACACTACTGACAAACGGTGAAGGAAAACATCGTCAGGGAATCTAGACTTATAATTTCTAATTATAAATTTGAAATCGCCAACCCGCATTGAGTAAGCGTGCATGGTGATTAATGCTGAAACCTTCTCCGTGTGAGAAGAGGTTTTGCTCAGCTGTGGCTACTTATAGGCTGTTGATGTCCATAGCGGGCGTATTGTTTATGTATCTACCAATTTATATAATTATTCCCTTTTTTAACCAAGTGCGAAAACACCTCTGGTGTTACCGAAATTCAATGGTTTTAGGTCTCAAGTGATGGCAACCCTATGTGAATTGAATTCGTCTCTCTCTTTGTATTTCCCGAGCGTACGGCACGTCGCGTTCCGCGCGCACCTCAAAGAGCCATCAGACCACCACAGATGGGGCCCAATAGGGCTGATGCCGATTCGGAGCCGCAGGGAACCTAACGGGTTACC